CTAACTCCGGTGCCTTTGCGTGATAGCGGCAAGGCAAAAACATTGCGTACTTGGTGAGGCGGTCGACGACCGTGAGGATCCCATCAACGCCGGTCTTGTGGTTTGGGAAGGGGTCGGTGATATCCATTGCAATCGCTTCCCGTCGCCCAAGGGGAACTGGTAGTGGGTGTAGCTCGCCAAACGGACGATGGTTGCGTGACTTGCAACGCCGACAGACTTCGCACGACTCACAATAGCGGGTGGCGTCCTTGAGAAGGTCGGGCCAATAGAACCGCTGGCGAAGTCGGCCAAGTGTACGGTTGACACCAAAATGTCCGGAGGCGGGCGCATCGTGAAACTCGCCAAGAAGCCGTGTGCGTAAGTGTGAATCACTCGGCGCATAAAGAAGATCCTTACCCCGTAAATGCATAAGTAAGTAGCCCTCTTGGATCCGATAATGTGAAGGCACCGGATTCGGAGAGGAGCAATTCGTGTACTTGTCGCGAAAGTGGGGGTCGGCTTGATAGCCGCGGATGAAACTCTCCCGCAAGTCGTCGTCGATCTCGAAGGTAGAGTAGACTGCGGTGCAAAGATCCGGTCGCCGTGAGAGGGCGTCCGCAAAATGGTTTGACTTCCCGGGAATGTAATAGGGGAAAAAGTCAAACTGGTCGATGAAAGTCATCCATCGGGCAATGGTACTGTTAATCGTGTCTTGCGACTTGTAGAATACCAACGGATTATTATCCGTTACCCATCGGAATGCTTTCCGACCAAGGAGGAAATGTCGCCAACGCTTGAGGGCGTGGACGAAGGCAAGAAGCTCCTTCTTCCGTGCGCCGTCGATCGAATGCACGGGAGGTACTTTCTTGCTAAATTACTCGACTGGGTGCCAGTCCGTGCCATCGTGTTGCTCAAGGATGGCCCYAATGCCATAGCCCGACGCATCGGTAGTGACGCGCGTAGCTAGAAGCGGGTCGTAAATATGTAACACCTCAGCGGATAAGAGTGCCGCTTTGAGTGTTTCAAAAGAATGGCGCGCATCGTCGTCGAAGTCAAAAGTCTGCTCCTCGCTTTGTAACTTGCTTAGGTTGGCCGCGATCTTCGAGTAACTCTTGATGAAACGCTGATAATAACCGGCCAAGTCGGGGAAGGATCGGACGTCCGTCACATTCTTCGGCTCGGGCCACTCCTGGATGGCTTGAATCTTGTCCGCCAATGGACGAATGCCTTTCGGAGAGACAAAATGACCCAAGTATTCAAGCTCTTGCCGGACAAACTCGCATTTGTCGTGGTTAGCTTTGTACCCGGCTGACCGAAGAGTCTCTAGAACACGGCGAAGGTGCTCGAGATGCTCCTCTAGAGTTCGGCTATAGACGAGGATGTCGTCTAAGTAGACCAAGACGAAGCGGTCCAACATAGCGCGAAACTCGGTGGTCATGGCCGCCTGAAAGGTGGCCGGGGCATTGGTGAGGCCAAAAGGCATAACTACCCACTCAAAATGCCCATATCGCGTCTTAAACGCGGTTTTGTACCGATCTTGTGGGCGGATGGAAATCTGATGGTAGCCCGACTTGAGGTCCAACTTGGAAAAGTACTTGGCGCCGCCTAACCGCTCCAGCAAATTGTCAATGCGAGGTAGAGGGCCCGCGTTCTTGATGGTTTGCGCGTTGAGGCATCGGTAGTCAATGCAAAGTCGAAGGTCCTTGTTCTTCTTCTGAACGAAGAGAACGGGCGCACCGTAAGGTGAGCTGCTAGGGCGGATCCAACCCTTGTCAAGTAGATCGTCTAGTTGCGCACGGAGAACCGTGAGCTCCTCCTCGGACATGCGATAAATGCATCTTTTCGTTGGCACGGCGCCGACCTCAAGTATGATCTCGTGAGAGATTGGCCAGTCCGGCACTATACCGGAGGGTGTCTCAAAAACAATCGAGAACTCGTCTAACAACCGGGTCACACGGGGGTCGGAAGACACATCCGTGGACGATGAATCGGTCGTCGGGACGGTTCGAAAAAAAGCGATGCCAATCTCTTCGACATGCTCGGAACGGCATGTGTCTCGAAAAGATTTGGCACTCACGACTTGGCACCGAATGGAAGAGCGAGGAGGACGAATAGTACACGGGACCTCGACGCCAGTTGCATCACGAATCGTGAGCGTRCGTCGATGGAAATTGACCGTGTGGTCCGCGCTAGAAAGCCATGGCATCCCCAAAATGACATCGAAGTCGGTGTCCAACACGTCAAAAGTGACAGGTTCACATGCGTGCGGTGCAAAGTACACCGGGACAGCCGAGATGTAACGGTCTAAAAG